AACAAACATAACGTGAAGCAGACATGTGCTATTTACAGTAATGTGCAAAGGATTTAAATACGATATTTGAATAGTGCAACTTGCTCCTTAGATATATGCCTTAGATGCACTAGAAATCCAACTACTTTCTTTGTATGTGTTCATGTCTCTGTTACAATTTTTGTAAATATGAAATCAATGGCATAAACGTCAATTCAAAGGAGTTATAATTAAATGACACAAATTTTTTTCCATTCTAAAGATTCTTTCCCCTCTAAGATGCCCGTTGGACATATGTGAAGGTCTCTTGACCTTGTATCCTTACCCCCCCTCTTTGTCATAACCATAGCTCATATATATCGATACGATTCGTCGTTGAGCAGGAGGGATAGATACGGATAACCCGTGCAATTGAAATAACCTCGAAATCCTACTTGTTACTCAGTTTTCTTGTGTTCAATTTGTGATAATAAAAGTCCTCAATATTCCACAATTCCGGACTGATTTATTCAAAACAGGTAAAATAGAATTAATAATAGCAAAATTCAAGTGCTAATGGAGAACAGCAGGGTCGAAAGGTAAAGAGATACCAGAGAAAGTTAAGGTAGCGCAATTATTTTAGCCGTGGAGTCCTTCCAAAATTAGAAACTTACTTCAAGTAGAAAGATATTTGTTCCGTGTCAGCTCGTGTTATGTAGGCGCTCTGAAAACAAGCAAATAGTTTCGTAAATAGCTAAGTACACAAAGACTCGTAATGAAAAGTGTTCGACTGCAAGTAGGAGTGACATTAGCAGTTCTTGCTGAAATTGACAGCAAAAAGTTACTCCCTCGAGCTTGGGTCTATGATAACTATTTAACTATTCAATTTTCCTTTTTTCCTCGCTGCATGATTATGGTTGCACTCGATTCTACTAAAAAAAATCCCGATGAACGGGATGAAATATTTTCTTTTCGATATTATTTGATTATTTTGCCATGATTTTTTCAAACAGCAAATATTTTAACCGGAAAAAAAGACGTCAAGAATTTGCATGACATTCAATTTTCTGCAAGGTGTAATAGCAAGAATAGGCTATTTTTTACTCAAAACAACACATGCTAAAAGCTTATCCTTTTAGGTACTACCAACCTCAAAGTTGGTAAAGGACTAACAGTTAGTCCTTTAAGACATTACCAACCACAGGGAACTGTAGACTGAGATTCAGCCTCTTAAGATAAAGTAACGCCGATTGGATCTTAACCCAGAAATGAAATTAATGTTGACAAAAGCTAGTCAGATATGGGGAGCAGTCCTGTTATCAATAACTTTACTAAGTGAGAACAAAAATGATTTTAAACCATAAATTGTTCTTCACTTGATTAGTAACACATGCATACTCCGAACGTAATATCTTCCTCAGAGTTCTCTGACGGGACTCGCGTATGTTTCCCTTACTACGGCCTTCAGACGAATATACGCGAACAGAGAGCAATAGAACCGTTGAAACTCTAATATTCCTGTATCCCAAAGGCTTACCTCGAGAAGCCGGTCTAACAACATTAATTAGGTCTTATTAATCGAGCGAGAGGTTTGTGTGTGAGAATCTTGACCGAGGTCGCCAGTACAGACCGAACGCAGTGAAGTCTGTACCGGCGCCCGAGGTCAAGATTGTCCCATACAGACCGACCTAGCTCGGTTAATAAGATGTTTATTATATGGCTGTGTCTTATATGCCAATTTTTTTTTGCATTCTTTGTACCTTTTTTTCTAGACCGATCTAGATGCCGGTCTAGATGGGAAAATCTAGACCGCCTTCAATATTGATTTCAGCCAATCAAATTCGTGAATTTGGTAGTTCCCAGTCCTTGCGAGACGCAGCCATATAATAATGAGCCATACAATACAAAAACATTCATTATTCAAACACGTATATATCTTCTAGGGTCCAGAGCCGCTCAAAATACGAACNCTGTACCGGCGCCCGAGGTCAAGATTGTCCCATACAGACCGACCTAGCTCGGTTAATAAGATGTTTATTATATGGCTGTGTCTTATATGCCAATTTTTTTTTGCATTCTTTGTACCTTTTTTTCTAGACCGATCTAGATGCCGGTCTAGATGGGAAAATCTAGACCGCCTTCAATATTGATTTCAGCCAATCAAATTCGTGAATTTGGTAGTTCCCAGTCCTTGCGAGACGCAGCCATATAATAATGAGCCATACAATACAAAAACATTCATTATTCAAACACGTATATATCTTCTAGGGTCCAGAGCCGCTCAAAATACGAACGTGTGTATACAATATAAACTAATTAGAATTAACAAATAGAGAAGCCTTGACTTGAAAAATAGAGAAGCCTTGACCGTTCTTTAGTAAAACACGCAGGAAGCGGCCAGAGCGCGAAAGAAGTGCAGGGACAAACACGGGACGTCAGTGTCGTCAGTATGCTCTATACTCTGACAGAGCACGCTTATAATAAGCCAATCAGAATCCTTGTTAGAATGAGAAACCTAATTTGATCGGATAAACAAGACCAAAGTTGTCAAAATGTCAAACCCTTAAAAGCTATCACGAAGAATCGCAAATCTTACTTAATAATTCGCATGCATAAAAGTGCACTTTTTCGTACAAAAACCATTATCTTAAGTAACCCGATTAATGAAATCCGGCCGAATTTTAGCCCATGAAAACCTAAACGTTATCAACGTGACAATCTGAAAAAAAAACTGCTTAAAGGTTTTGGCTGGAACTTGAAAAACTGCTGCGCTGTGTTGTTCTGTGAATAAACAACGGTCGAATCTACAGCAGCGGGAGGGTTTCGGGAACTAGTGGTTGCATCAGTGGAACTTGGCTGCGATCGTCTTCCATTCAATGTACCAGAGAGGATATCTGAACAAGCCCTTAGCTGTTCACTGGATGGACGAGTGTTGTAATTCCTCAGGCTAGCCTCACTGCGATGACCAGAGATCGCCATTATGTGCCGCGATGAAAGTTGCGCGTTGGACCACAGCGTGATTACAGTGGCCCTCACACAATGGTTCGTGTAGATTCTCGAAAGAGACTCTAGTTTAGAAATTTCTTTCATCCTTCCTTCAATTTTGTTGACCCACAGGGGCTTGTTGTCGTACCAAACTTTATCTTCAGATTTCACGGCTCGCTTTAGATACTGAAAAAGTGCTTCGTAGGCAGGATTTAACTTCTGGAGATAATTCTTGAGGCAGTTGAGGCCGTCAAAAAGTGGATCATCTGATGTTGAATGCATCTTGGCCCTCTTTTCTACACTTCTGATGTCTTCAATATCCCCTGGATTGTTCTTAGTAGCCTCGTCATGGATCATTGAAACGTATTCCCGTCCGTTGTCGTCTAATAAGAACTGGAAGCTTTGCTTCGTCAACTGTCGTAAACCTTCGCGTCCTCGACGACACCAGTACAGGGGTATATGAAGCCAGAAATTCCGCTGAAGACCCCAACGATTGTCTCCCCAGATTGTATTTGACGACTTCAACTTTTGGAGGTCTGCTACTGGAATTGGAGGTTTGTGTTTTGTATTTTCTTTGCTCTCGCACTTGTTTAGCTTTATCTGACTCTGACGGAGCTTGTTTGACGCTTGGAAATCTGTGCCTTTTGCATGGAGATTCCTCTGTTAAATGGCGGGTTGTTGAGGTATCTTTCAATTGCATTTCGCAATCCAAGAAGGGACGACCTTGAATACAATGCACCATCTTTTTTTCGTGCTTCTACGTAAAAGTAGCGGAGGTGTTAGGTCAAGCTCTTTGTTGCTCATTTCGTGGAGGTTCTTGGCAACTTTTCTTTCACTACACCAAGCTATTAAAAAACGGCAACAAAAAAAGAAAAGGCTTTTATTTGTATTTTGGTGTTCATTTTCGAGAAAGTTATAGTTGTTGGTTAGAAACGTGTGTGTGTGCTAGCCAGTTTTAAAATTATTCACTTTCCTTGATTGTTTTTTTTTTTTTTTTTTTTTTTTTTTTTTTTTTTTTTTTTTTTTTTTGGTAAGAAAGTTTAACAAATGTGCGTCCATTTTATTCGAAGGTTTTACATTGTATTTATTACATTTTTGCAACGAAAAAAAAATTCGTCTTCAAAAGCTTGGATATCCCATTCGGTGGATTGTTTAGTTTTCTTTGTTTCTGCTCTGGTAATTATCTCGTCTATTGCTGCACTTGACATGTTTTGAAATCTTTCCCTTTTTAAGTTGGCGCCGCGCTCATTGTTTTCATAATTAACTTCGTTGGAAACCTCACTTTCAGTTAAACACGAAGGCGCGCAATATAAGGAACTCTTCCCTGGGAAGACCTAGGCTCATTTGTCATTCCCTTTTGACGTGTGCGGGTCAAATTTGAATGCTGGTAGACGAACGAAAGGAGCTAATGAGATATCTATATTGTTTACTTCCACCAGAATGGTGGGAATAATATAATGTGCGAACCACCTACTTCGATCTCAATTTTACCGCCACAAATAAAGACAGTTTCCATTGGAGAAAGGAAACACAAATCTCAAAAATTCTTGTATTGTGATGAAGACATAAAACAATTTTGAAAAATGCGCCCGCTGTTCACCGCTTTGGATTAGCTATAGCTCAAGCTGACTTGACTTTAAGAGTTCGAGATCACACGACGGTTGATTGACAAATGATCCGGTGGGACAGAGAGAAAAATTCGGGATTGGGTCCGCCATGTTACAAATTGGCAGATGGCTT